TCCGATCTCTAACGTTCTGTGATTCTGTGCTGCTCGGGGACTGGTTGGGCATTGGTTGGTGGTGAGAAATTGTTTTCCTTTGTCTGTCTCTCCCCTTGTTATTTTTTCCCTCCTCTTTTCCTTACAATTTATTATGATCATTATTATTTCTTTTTATTTATCGAACTGTTTTTGTTGCAACACATGAGTTTTCTCAGTTTTACCCTTGCAATTCTCTCCCCATTGCACCGTGGGGGGATGAGTGAGCAGCTCTGTCATGCTTACTGTTGGCTGGGGTTAAACCATGACAACCAGACATTATTTTTTGCATCAAGCGCACTTATAAAATGTACTGTGATATCAACTGTTTTTTTTTTTTTTCAACTGTAATTTTTTTTAATCCTAGGGTAAAGAACCAACTGATCAGCACATTAAGCAGGTTTGCATGAGAGTCATGCAAGGTAAATATGCTAAAAAGTATTTGATGTTTCCTGTGCAGTTAAATCAGGATAATCTAATGCTGTGGAGGCAACCAGGATTTTCTCACTCTTATCCAGAACAAATAGCATGGCATCAGCAAGGGACCTGGCAGAAAAAGCTTCCCACATGTGAATGTGAACACAATAGGAGAAAGAAGTCCCTTATTTATATACACTTGGCAGCCTCATTGAACTACCTGATGATTCCACACTATTACTGTAGTAACCAGGCCATAGACAGGAGTGTTTTAATGAAACACATATATTTTGTGTACAAATCACTTTTTATGTTTACATCTATAGAAGTACACAGCCTCACTGAAAGCTTGTTTTGGTATTTGGACTCACACACTATTAGATTACAGCAAACAAACTACGTACAAAAGAGGTGAAAAAAGAGGAGTGCAGAGAGAGACTTGCTGGAGATAACATACCATAAAATGAAAGCAGTAGGCAGATGTTCAAAACTCTAATCATGTTTGCGCAGTTCTTGGCACATGCAGAAATCTGGAGCTTTATTGAGTTTAAAAATTTATGCTGCCCTGTAAGCACAAAGGAACTTTTCAGTACTTGCTGTTGAAGATGCCCTTAGGGATATAATGCCTCTGTAATGTTAAGGGTTTACCAGAATGAAACTGCTGCTCATGATTTAATCTAAAAATTATAAGTAGTCATCACTGTTCTTGATACTGTCCAACAGGTATTTTTTTTAAACTTTCTATAAATAGGATCAATAGGCCTTTTGAAGTGATCTCTAGAAAGACGTAACATTGAGGAGCACTATAGTGAAATCAGATGTGATGCCTCAATTTATTCATAACCATCAGAATTATCAGTGAAGAGAAGGAAAATCTAGACTGTCTTCATCGCACCTCTTTTGAGAGCTCTATAGTTGTCAATGCTGTCATGCTTAAAAAAAAAAAAAAAAAAAAAAATCAATCCAAGTGGGTCCCTGCAATCTTGTCAGCTTCAAGACAACCATAACTGAAGTTCAGCTCCTGATTAGGCTTTACCTGCAGATTGCTATCCCCAGTCTCCTCATGTGTCTACCAGCCATAGCTCCTGATCCTTCGCAACCCCCCTTCCCCCTCCATCCCCATCTTCTTAATTTTTCTTGGTTGTGGACACTAAATAACTAGTCTTGTCAAGTCATGCAGACTTTATAGCAGAAGTCATATGAGATTGTGTGGCTGTATTGAGATGAAGTTATTTCTAAGGCATGCTTGGAAGATGGATTTGAAGCCTAAAATAGAAACGTTAAGGAAAGAGAGGACTGCTCTTATGCTGTTACAGCAGTGGCCTGAAAGGGGGATGAGGAAAGAGGACTAGCTAGCTTAGACCATTCCAAGGAATGACAAGCTGATCCTTTGCCTAATGAAGAGCAAAGCTCCTGCTGATTTACCTTAAGATCAACACAAAATGTTTAATTATTTATCAAACTCGAGCTCACAAGCACCAATTTGAGGGAATTTTTTTTCCTGAAAAGGATGACCAGCACTTGCTTTATACGCCATCGTAGATGACTGTGCTTATGCTTTTCAGTTGTTCCTTCTTGCAAAGATGGATCTTAATAGGGGTTAACAAGTAGTAACGAAGAGAGAGATTTGCTCTTTTAAGAGGTACCAGTAGCATGAGTAATTTTCTTATTAGATGCTTGAAATTTAAATGACATAGAAAATGATAAGGACGTTTCTAAAGAAACCATATATATTTAAATCTTTTCAGCTTACAAGCATTGAATGTTTAAGATGTAGGCTTCAGAGCGACCAGCTTCACAGTGTGCCTATGCAGTTTCCCTGTAGCAGTACTAAGATAATACCTTACGTGCAACAAACTTTGCAAATAGCATTGTACATAAGGAAGGTGCTGTACTGCAATCAGTTGGTTTCTGTAGCAGAGAATACCTGTGAATGTGGGGATCTCTCAGGTCCATGTAGTGCTTAATTCTGTCTTTTTTCATTGCAGAACAACTAGCTCAGCTGGCAGCCAGTCTTAGGAGGCCAGAATTTGGTGCTCCAGGTCTTCCTGGCCGACCGGGGCCGCCAGGTGCTCCAGGACCTGCTGGTGAAAATGGGTTCCCAGGACAGCTTGGACCGCGGGGCTTACCTGGCCTTAAAGGTCCCCCTGGTGAGATTGGTCGTAAAGGTCCTAAAGGTAAGAAATTTTGTAACTGGCTTTCAGTTGTTGACTGCTCCACCTTTTTGTGTGTTTTTTTTCCCCTTTGGATTAGTTTGTAGATGAATATTATACCATGTGAAGTCTAAAAAGATCATGAATTAGGAACCTAAGCTGTTTCCTGTAACTGCTGCCTCAGTTGCCCCAGTGATTAAGGGGTACATTGGCCTGGCCTCAGCAAGACATGTTTATAAATCAGTTTTTTGACATCAAATCATTTACAGTGTGAGAAAGGACAGGCATCTGCTTTGAAGTAGAAGTAAGAAGCTGAGTCAGATTCCTAATAGTAATTTTCCTTCTCATTAACTTTTGACGTTTGTGCTTTTCATATGCTGAAAAGATCCAGCAGTGATTCTCTCTTTCCTCCACTCAGTCTGCTTGGGGACCTCACTTCCACAAGCCTTGTGGTCGCAAGAGCTAATGTAAACAGTCAGATTCATTCACTAATCTCTAGCCTACTTTTCTAAGTCTATCCAGTTTCTCACATTACAAGTGACTGATAGCAATCTGCCTCTTATTTGGGTATAACACTTGAGCCATTTAACATCATTGCACGATGTCCCACAATCTGTTGATTCTTTGGAAAGGACAAATCCATAATAAAATTGACTTCCCTTACACTTTACAAAAAATCTTTCATCTAAATTAAGCTGTTTTGTTCCTGACTGAGAAGTTTCATACTCTTCCAAAGGATTAGACAGTAGAATTTTCTGCAAAGTCTTATGATGACTATGTATTAGTTTCAATTCAGCAGTGATTTTGATTTGTTTTCCTGAAGGTTTTATCTTAAAATTGTATTTCTGGACAAAGCTGGTCTGTTGCTGGGTTAGAGCGTTTACTTTTGTCTCAAGTTTTATTTGAAAGTAGAATTGGGAAAACCCTTGAGAGAAAGAACAGAGAATACAAACAAAGCAAACCTTAACAGCATTGTTGCTGGAGCTCTAATACTGTTCTCATTTAATGTAATGTCATCTGTATTTGCAGAAGCAACAAAAAATGGAGACACAAAGGTGATCGTATATGCCGAATTTGATTCAGCACCTGGGAGGCTGCATTGTGTTAATATATATAAAATAAAATCTACAGAGCATATAAAAACCCAAACAAGCAAAATGCTTTGTTTCTTATCATAATTGTCATCAAATTCCAAGTTACCTTACAGTGAGCCTTGAAACAGGATTACAAAGATTCTTGCTCTAGGGCCCTGTGTGCATCTTTTATTGGAACTTGAAATTCTGTACTGACTCCTGTGTCCTTTACATAGCTTCCTTGTTTTCTGCTGTGCCATTTCTAGGCAAGTCACAAACCTAGCAGTCTATTCCAACTCTCTTCACTGCATCATGAGAAAGTATGGAAATATAAAATAAAGCTCACTCAAACATTATTAGGCATATACTAGTGACTTTTGACTTGCACAAAAAAAAAAAAAAGTTTACGTAGGGTATTCACGCATGGTAGATATACAGCTATATCAGTTGTTAGCTGACTGACTTACACAGTTTTGCAAAAGCCCTTTGCCAGTACCCTCAGTCTGTATTCCAAAAGAGCCTGTGTAGTTCTGTGGGTTTGGTTTATTTCTGTTATACAGGCTATGGCATATTTCATGTGGTACTTCGTCTCCAGCCCCAGGTGTGGGTTTTTTTTTGTTGTTTGTTTGTTTTGTTGTGTTTTGTTTTTCCCCTCCACCAACCCTGAGTATGACTGAAACAGGGGGTGGGGGGAATAAATCCCAACCCTCTTACAAGGAGAGGTGTCAAGACATTATTCAAAGATGCTAAGAATATATACATATATACAGCCACCTGAATTCTCTGCTATTAGCCATTCACCTCTGAAAGGAAACTTACTGAAAGTAATACTCCAAGCAGGCTGTAATGAATATTTCATGAATTTGCTTTAGGTGAACCAGGAGAAAGAGGAGAAAGAGGATTTCCAGGCAGAGGACTGAAAGGTTACCCTGGACCAAGAGGTCTTCCAGGTAAATACAAAAGGGTGAGGAAAAAGAAGAGATGTAGTAAAAATCTATTCAGAACGGATGCCTCAAGCTGTCTCGAAAAGATAAAAGGTGTCCATTAAGCAATAAACTTCCAAATAACAGTACTTCATAACTTTTCTTAACCCAGGACAATAGGTAATGATACAATCACAAATCAGAAGTAAAAGCTCTCTTACTAAAGAACTACCACCTCATTTATCTCAGTGTAGAAAGATTAGGAAAAATGTATACAAAACATTAAAAAGAAAAAAGAGGCAGTCACACACATACACACAGAGATATATACAATTGCCTCTTTTATATAAATGTAACATACAACCAATAAAAAAGTTACAAAGCCCAGATTATCTCACTAGCAGCCACAGCACGCTTCAAAATCTCCATTCATAATTTCGGACATTCAAAGTACAATTGTTCTTTATTTTTGTGGTCATTAATTGCAGTGTTATGTAACAGGGGTCCAGGACAGATTCTTGCTGATACGTACAGCACAACTGGCCTCTAGTGGCCAGGGAATGAAAATAAACATGTTATTTCTGTCAATAGCTGTCTACAGCACATTTCTGCATATATGTTTAGACAGAAACTATCAAAACTTGTTCTCTTTGTAAAAAAGAAAAAAAATACAGTTGAGTTTATACTGACACCTAGGACACCTGTGAAAGTCTGTTGTCTTTAGAAATTTATCATTGGAAGAAGCTTACTGAACCCACTACATTTCATCCCTTTCTTGAAGTTTAGAAGGATACTTTAGTGCTCAGCAGTTCCACTCTGTGCATCTATTTCCCCAACACATTGGAGTGGAGAATAAAAATAAATTCTTGATATGTCTCTTTCTGGAGCACTAACATACCTCTGAAGTAGTGAGTAGCATCTACAACCTTCATATGCATTGCCAACAGGCTGGGCGGCAGTGCCGCAATCAGTTTTGCTGCATAGCTTCTTACAGCAGCAGATCTGCTCCACTGTAACTGGAGAGGACTGGGCCTGAAATTGCACTGCTGTAGACATGTAAACAGAGCCTGGGTGTCTATTAGAGGAAAACTGTCCCTTGAAGTAGGCACCTCTCAGGAGAATCCATTGAGAGCAACAAAAAGCCATCTTCATACAGCTTTTAAAACCAGGATGTTCAGTAAAACTACACCTATACTATGCAAGTCATATCCTGCCAGTTTTCAGACCTGCACCCACTTTTTCCAGGTGAACCAGGCAAACCCAGCTATGGCAGGGAAGGCCGTGATGGTGAACGAGGTCGCCCTGGGGTGGCTGGTCAGCCAGGGGTTCCTGGTCCTCCTGGCCCTCCTGGCCCTCCCGGGTACTGTGAGCCGTCATCTTGCAGAATGGAGGCTGGACAAAGAGCTGATAAGAACATGAAAGGGCCGTGAAAATGCAACGCAAAAGCCACGGAGTGTCAGCGTCAATTTACTTCCTGTGCAGACAGCTGAGAAAAAAATAAGGAATAAAGGAGAAATACAAAACAAGTAGAAACCTTTCAACCACGGTTTCAGTAAGGCATTTTTGACACAGTGGTTGTATGTTCTTTCTAATGGTGTACTTGGCAACACAAGCTGGAACAATGGTGCTTACAAAAATACACAGGTGATGCCTTCTGTCTCTTTGGGGCGGGGAGGGGGAAAAGCATTTGGCTATTTTTTTTTAAATAAATAGTGTCTCCTCCTCTACTTTATTCCTATGTATGATGTACAGTAAAATATGTCTTCAGCCATCAAATAAAAAAGGAACAGTTTATTTACTTCAGTTGTAGCTATTCTTTTATGGTTTTAAAATTAATTTCAGAGCACCATCATCAGTTCATGCACAGTAATTTCATTGTATGTACATGCTGTACAGGATATGCTAAACTTCCCTCAGCTCTTCCACTCAATTGCAGAAATACAGTTGGGAGGCTGTGCTTATGAAAACCTGCCATGCTGGACACATTTTATGCTGTAAAGCTCTGTAAAGGTATGATCACTGGGTTCTCATGAATAAGCCATGTGGAACATCTTCATTTTCCACTCCAATTTGTGTTGCATTCGTAATTTTGTATGAAGCCTATTCCAGCTCGCCTCCTTCTATGTGATTTTAAAATAAAAGGCTAGTAGCCACTGTCAAGGGAATTTTAAGTCCCAGAAATATAAAAGTTTTATAGTAGAGATTACAGATTTTGAAGTAACATCTGTGGTTGTACAAAGAAAAAATAAAAACTGTTTTAACCCTCTGTATGTTTTTGTATGTGTGGTTACATTCAATACCGATAACCAGAACATTCAGAACACAGCCATTACACATCCTGAGTTGCTTTTTTTAGATAAACTCAGTTTTTAGAGGAAAATGTGCAACGTGGATATTTTGTTTCTCTCTGTATAAATTAAACTATTTGTGGTTTTGACTTTACCTTCTGTAAAGTGTGTTCTCTCTCAACAGCTGACAATGAAACCAGCCTACAATGTTTCACTTCGCTATTAGTCATCCAAATTTGCAAACTTTGGCATGCTTGCTTTAAGCATTGATTTTTTTTTCCTAGCCCTTAGTTGTCTGTTTATGATCAAAACAGTTGACTTGCATGCCCTGTGCGAATATAAAGAAATAACACGATCAATTAAGCCATGCATTTTGCATGTAACGTGTAAGACAACACTAAAGGGAAAAGTACTGGTATAATATACACTCTAAATGGAATTATTGAAAAAAACGATAGATAAGACCTTCCCCAAACCAAACTTGATGCTCTAGCTGCATCTCTGAGCCACTTCTCTGGCACCTCATATGTTGTCAGAAAACACCTGAATAGAGAGCACCTGGGAGAAAAACGGCTGATAAAGCTGCTTACTAAAACCAAGTATGTTAAAGACTTTTGAAAATGAGTGAGATAAGAATTATTTTTATAATCTCTTTCTGTTCCTTGCACAGCCCAATATTTTAAATGCTAAAATACAAAAGAGGTTGAATATTTACAATTAAGTCTCATCTACAAGTGTCTGCTGCCCTCTCAAGAGAGAGTACTCAGAAGAACTTCTTATGTAGTGCAACAAAGAAATTTTTAGTAGTAATGACAAGCTGTAATTTCACCAGCAAACTTTTATTTTGACTATAAAGTGAGTAAAACTGTTAAAAAGAAAAAAAAAAACACCCAACTGGTAACAGAATGAAAATATTATTTTCCATATGTAATGCATAAACATAATGAATCAAAAGAAGCAAAAACCCCCAACTTTTAAATACAAATGTGAAGTGCTTTAAAAAATACAGTCTGAAAAAATGCAAAAAATTCCACAAAGGGAAGAAACTCATGTAGAAGATAAAACATTCATATGTAAAAGCCAAATAAGAATTATTACAATCAAATTCAAAATTGAGGGTCAATTCAATGCAGAAGCCATATAAGTAGATAGCTTAAGATTGTGATAGATTTTTCTGCCTCATGCCTCTGATTCATGAATTTTAACTTAAAATACAGACCTGAAGAATAAATCCTCAGGCCCATTGCAAGTCGTTATGGGACACAGTAGTTAGAATCTAAGTATTTACCAATTCCCAATCTTGTGCAAGAGTTGAAAAATTTTACCTAAAGGGTGGTAGACCCTACACCAAAAAATACCAGAAACCAAATTTTAGCAACAGCATATTCAAATAAATAAAGATTTGGAAGACAAAGACTGAATTATGAATTTAAAAGAAAGGTATCTGTACCAACTATGGTGATACAGAAAAAAAATAGTGCTAGTTTAAATGAATATATTTAGAAAGCACAAAGCAAAGAGATTAAGAGGTTTCACAAGCCACGGCCAGTGTGCCACCCATTCTAACCAGATGCTTCTTGAAATCTTGGTGAAGTCCCAAGTAAACCTTGTTCTTGTCTCTTTCTGGTTCATCATCTTAAAATACCATGAGATTTTTTTTTAACTAAAGACTAGTGAAAATCACTTTTACCCATCAGGATCTCTGTAGCCACTCCTAATTCTGGATGTTTAACTGCACTGTCCTAAGTACATAATTTAGCTCCTCAGTTACTTCAGTGTAGGCAGAAACCAAGAGAAAAGTGTTTAACAACTGTCCTGAACATGAAAACCGATTCTTCACAATCCAGTTTGGTGTTTTAAAATGTTGATTGCAATGCTTTCCCTGCTAGTCTGCTGGTAAGTATTAGTAACTCTGCTGCTGAATACTGCAATGAAATATATATATGGTATACATCTACAGTTTAAATAGAGAGCTTATATGTCAGTTTTCTGCCACAGCCATTGCTGGGTTCAAGCAACCTAGTGTGAACTGCTACCAAAAACCTCTTGTGACTATTTCACAAAGGCCAAGGTGTCTCTCTAGGCACTTCCCTGAATACCCCGGTTGTGATCTAAGTTTACACAGAGCCAAACACACATCTACAACCACACTTGCTCTTCCTCCAAAAAGGAAAGTGTCAACAGATGGTTCTTTTCAAAGCTACTTGAAAGACAGAGGGAACAAGAAACTGAGTCCCTTCGTTCCAGAGGGAACAGTGTTGGTTCCTCCTAGCAGAACCTAGCAGTTGTGCTCTGTGTACAGACACATGCTGTATTTTTGCAATTGTTTTCAAATTGCTTAGATAATTGGGTGAAAAATGTTCACTTGACCTGCTCATCCCTGAATTATCACTTGGCCACGTAGTTTCTGGTTCTTTTATACTTAAAATGCAGTTAGTGTGTCTCCTCTGCTTACAGATCACAGCTAAAGAAGAAATGTCTTCATTTTTCAGGGGATGTTACTCCCATCTGATTTGTTGCACCTTTAGTTTTATTCCTCTCCCCTCAGTCTTTTGTTTTACTGTCCTGTTTTGCTTGCTGTGTGTGCACTCAAAAGGACTGGCAAACTGGAGCAGCTTTGCTGCTACAATGTATGAAGCAAGCTTGCTGAATTTTGAAAGAAGAAAATCAGGTTAGTGGTCAAATCATTACTTAGCATCCTTTAAAATGGCATTGATGTGGGAGTTATCTTTTTCCTCCTGGGAGGGTCAGGCAGCAAGAGAACAATGAAAATACCTAAAGTCAAACGGTTCAGTGGATCAGTTTCTTGAACAAATTGATCACCTCATATGCAGACTGGAACATTATCTACATCTGATTCAAAGAACACATTAACGTACATAAATTATATATATATTAAAGCCAGGATTTTTCACTTTTTTGTTTTTTGTTTTTTGTTTTTTTTTTTTCTCCTCTTGGGGATTCCTGTGGAGCCCTAAGTTTCACCAACCTGTAGGAAGCACAACTCTGACCCCAGTGTGGTCAAAAGTAACCCTCCCCCGAATTCAGTGCCAGCGCCGAAGGCTCCACGGGGCTCTCTGTGGTGGCTTTGTGTCTCCCCTTTCTCTCATTTGCAGTTGCATTCTCCCTCTTGTGATTTGACACGGAAGGAAATGTTGTCATTTCTGACAGAATCACATACAAAAAGTATGTGAAACATTGCCATTTCCATCCGGAGTCCTATTTCAGATGTAAATGGCCACATAATAGCATAAAAAGCAATTTTCTATCCACTTAATACATTTCCATTGAACTGAACCTCAAATGTTGCAAACTAAAAATATCATGAAGGAAAGTAGCAAGCAATCGGCACATACTGTAATTCATTCAGGGACAGCTGCATATCATTCAGAAATAAAAGAAAAGAACAAAATAAGGTACGTCATTGAAAATACTGGAGACAGAATTTACATCGAAACTTCAGTAAATAAATAAACGCATTCGTGTTTGCAAAACAGCAGACTCAGAAATTGCTAAAAGACATGTAGGCTACATTCTTTTTAGCTGCAAACTTATTTTGGTCTGTAATCTGTAACATTTGATAGCAATTAGTATTTGAAAACCACATTTCCTGAAGGTATCGCGAAGCTCAAGTTTTCTACTGAAATACCAACCAAGGCAAGGTCACAGTTAAACTTGTTCTCCATGGCCTACACCCACCTACATGGATGTGGATGGATTTAAACATCCACCCAGCACAATCTGGTTGTAGTGGACATAACAGATTTCAAGGACAATTTATAAGACTCCGTACATCCAGAATCTAACAAAAGTTTGATAAAAAAAGAAAACAACAGTATTTTGATTCCTGAGATACTTCTCATGTTCTGACATGTCACATTAGAACAGCAGTTCTACTGCATTGGTAAAATGCAAGGTTTGGGGGTGGCTTTACGTAGTATATTTGGAGAAACAAGTTTATAAAATGCTAGTTCAGGCCCTAGGGTTTTTACAATACGCTTATGTAAACATTACAGAAAAAGAAGAAAGAAATTGAGTGTACACGGACATGAAAAATAGTCTTTCACCCTTGTGAAAAAGATGCGCCAAAATATTTTGTGATTATCCATTAAATTAAAAAATATGCTTATTTAACAAAGCTGTGCATATCTAACATCTGCCATAATCCACAACTGTGAAACAGAAAGGGAGGATGGATGATACCATCAATCCTGTTTCCATATCGCAGTGCTCTTTTAGCATTGAAACCAAATCCAGTTTAAGACAAAAACACTGGTTCCTAAAACACTAGTAAGTAGGCTGCACCATTACTCAGTCGGATGAAGTATGCTGTTGTAATTTCCATTAACCCCAGCAGACTCCCTGCTCCCCTAGAGACACACACCATTACAGTGGACATTAATGATGCCTGAAAGCGGGATGCCCTGCTGCTGCGTGCTCTTCTGTAACGTATATATATACAAAACACAAATAATATCTAAGAACACTACCTGAAAATAATTATGCAAGACAGGCAGTATTTCTGCAAATACCGCCATGCAAAACTAAAATGGATTTCAGAAAAAAAAAAAAAAAAAAGTAGTCAGGTGCAAGAACAAAATCAGAAACACTGACTCTTGCACTGTGAGTCTACGCAGCGCTGAGTTATTTCTTGCACTGCTGAGTTAAGTTTGGCTTTATCCTTTGTACTGAAAACGTGTTTTGAACTCCACCGTGTGGACAAAAGGAGCTACGCTGCAGCCTCTGAAAAGTTTCCCTCTTACCAAGTTTATTACTTTCTTCAGGCAACCTGAGTAGTTCTGTACATAGCTGTCTGAAGAAAATCGCAACACCTTCCTAGGAGGTGATAAAGCAACTTGCCGTAAAATATAACAGTGTGACCCTGAACTAGAACAAAGCTTAGAGAGGTTTTCAGAAATGTTTAAAACATTTTGTCAAAACTATTTTAGTTCAAAGTCCTGTTGTAAGTAAACATTCCAAAATCAGCAAAAAACCTTATGCTACTGGAAAAAACGATCCTGCATGTTTAGTTCCTTGCAATGCTTACTGCAGCAGAGACTGCTGGAAACAGATCCAAAATGGATAAAGCAAATCGCAAAATAGATTAGCACCCCTCCTCCCTTCCCGGCCCCCTTCCCAAAAACTAAGACAACATCAGTCTGAAACTGCAAAGAAATTCCAGGGACCAAACCTGAAAACTATGCAGAAGCATGATTCCAGCTATGTTCTGCTTTCAATTGTAAAAATATAGAGCAGCGGCAAGAAAGTGTGAAGTAAAGTGAAGCTGGGATTAACTCTGTCCTACCCCAGTGAAGAATGTGGCATCTTTAAAAAGGTATCAGCATAGCCCATAGAAAAAAATACCCGTTTTCTCATGTGAGAAAATTAAAGTGGGTTTTAGCAAAATAAAAAAATAACGCAACAAGAAAATTAACAAAGTTACCTGCAAATTAACTGAAAGTGTTCAAATACATTTTAAAAAGACCTTTAGATTTGAGCCTAGAAAAAGAAAAAGGCATCTGTAGGAAATAGAGATGAAAAAATAAAACTTCTTCAAATATAAAAGTGTTCTGCTTTCCGATAAGTTCAAGTAAATTAACATACAGCAACTGCATCTGGCAAATAACAGATGCTCGGCTTCACCTTGCTAAAAGCCCCAAAATATACAGATACCACTAACGCGGCGCAAGAGCCTCTGCACAGCTGCGCCGACACCTCTCGGCATGCGGAGACGCTTTACAAGACAGCACCCTTTTTAATATTGTCACAGAAAAACGAAGCTTAAAATTAACTTATGAAGTAGAAAAATATTTGGATTTTTACATGTACTGGAATTACTAGAGGCATAAAAAGAAATGGATGAAAAAAAGTGACTGCAAGATACCTGTCCAGCAGTTGGCTGGACTGAAACAGTCCGTGGGGCTTGTTCCACTGCTGGTGCGCATCCACACGCACCTCGGGGCAAGGCCCCGGCTTCACTCGCAGGGCCCGGACAGCAGCGGGTGCCTCAGAGGAAACGAGCGCTGGGTTTTGAGCCGCCAGTTCCCAGCGCTGGCACAGCTGCGGCTCTCTGAGGAGCAGCCCGGGCAGGCGGCCGGTGGCGCAGAGCGGGAACAGGCAGGCTGGGGCGGGAGCAGCGCGGTCGGAGCCCAGCACAGGCAGGACAACTCCTGCTGGCCTGCAGAAGGGGCAGTTCTGGCCTCCCGAGGGACAGCGAGGTGGTGTGAGGACTGTGGTTCGCCTGTGGGCTTTGACCTGTCCATCCCAACCCTCAGGAGGGACAGACAAGGCACCGGGCCCCGCGGAGGGCTCCCCAGCTGCAGGCAGGGTACAGCTCGCCGGTTCCCTTCAGGAGACGCTTCGTGGCACGCTCAAGGTTCTCTGCTGTCCTCCTTCCTCCTGCCCTCTCCTGCCCCAGGTGTTCTTACTCTCAGCCTTCCATCTCGTGTTTACTTAATCACCTTTCTGTGGCAAGCACCCTCTTCCCTCCAGACACCTGACCACTGGAACACGCCAGGCCGTGGCACCTGCCCCTCGCCCGAGGGCTGGCCTGGGCTCCCCAGCTGCTGGGTAACTCCACGCCTCTCCCACTCCTCCTGCTCCTCCAGGCTGCGCGCAAGTTCTAGAAACTCTGTTCAGAACAAATGCTATTTTTTTTTGTTGTTATTTTTAAAGACTCCCACCAGTCATTCCTTACTGTTTTTAAGCAAACCCCAGAAGCAGCCAGATTGGTGCCTCACAACAGCTGCTCTGCAACCCAGGTCAGTTCTGCTCAAGCATCAAGTCACCAAAACCACTCCCCTGCCTGACATGGGAGAGAAGGAGTAGCTTCCTAGTGATGGTGCAAGAGCCCTCAGTACTGCTTTTATGTGATGGATTTTTATTTTGAGGTTGTGGGTTATAGCTATCCATGTTCTCAACAGCACCTTCACTTGCCATTGCACTGCTGCAAGTTCCATCGGACTAATCTGGGATCACCTGTTTCCTAATAATCAGGAGTGAAACTCTGGCCAACCCTCCTCCCTCCTTTTCACAATCAGCCTCTGTGTGATCGACTTTCTCCATCTTTTCTTTCGCTCAACCCTTTGAGCTCTATAGGATTTACACTTTGTTCTGTTCTGTTCTTCATGGACAATGTCTGGTCTTGTAGGATTTACTAAACACCTGCAAACTGCATCTGGTCATGCTCTCTGCATTAGACCTTTCCAAGGAGGGTTTTGCACTTTTTTCCAAATTTCTCTTGAACTCAAAATAATTTTTTGCAACCAATTATTAGGACCTGTGAGTTTTCCATAATACTGTTTCCACGTTCTTCTTAAGCTTACTTTGGCACATGGTTATTGCAGGAGGAAGAGGTAAACCGTGCCACCAGTAGGATTCCAGGTTTGTGAAGTTCCTTCTTTGACTGTCTCACTGTGTACCCACCATCCTCTTCTCTAAAGCAAGCGGTTGTCTTTGCTGTAAGCAGACATAATGGCAGAGTAGCTTGATTACAGGCAACGATACTATACTTGCTAAGTCCATGTAACGGCTAGAAGACGTGCCAGTAGTTCTCAGCTGGGAACACCAGCACCAGTCCCTGGCAGTTTAATATATATACAAGCCCTCAGCTGGGACATCATCCAGTCAGGAGAGATGCTTCTCGGGGCTACACCTGGTGAATTCCCAGTCAGTCTGAACCCCCAGTTGGATGGGGTTAGAGAGATCATAAACACATCTTCATTTCCTTCTTTGACATCTAGGAAATGACTGAAACAGTGGGTAGGGTTCGTGGTGCACGACAGACCCGGCTCAGAAGGTGTGCCAGGGCCTCCTTGAGGGACTTGGACAGAGTCTAAACAGAGTTCCCAGTGCTCCAGCTCAGGTCCTGCATTCACCACAAATGAGTATGCTTTAAAACTTCAGAACTGCATTTTCTCCACTTAAACTTCACCACCACCAAGACAAATAAAGCCAGCTTACATCCTGAGGCATACGTACTGTCTCAAGTTACAATAAAATATTTTTTGTTTGAAGAAAGAAGCTTATGAAAATTATTTGGGCCTATCTTCTCCTCTAAGCAAAATAAATAAGAGAAATGTAACACATGGAATGCACTCTGGAAAACATATGACATCATTTCATAACTGACACTGCAAATAACATAGAAAAAGGCTCAATTCTGTGCCTTATAAATTATCTATTTAACATGCAGTGTCGAGGGGAAAAAAAATGCACCAAGTATTTAAAAGATTAAATTAACTTATAGAGGAGCTAAAAGTGACTGTGAACCCAGGTGTCTGAGGGAGAGGGTTTTTATTTCCCGCTGGTGTGTGACCGAGTCTGTGATACGTGGTAATAGCAATCTGCCGGGTTGCATCTTCCGTTGGGTCCAGGTGGCCCCGGTGGTCCAGGTGAGCCCGGTGTTCCCACTGGGCCCGGCAGGCCAGTAGCTGGTAAAACAAAACTAGAATTAGCGGAGTCCTTGCCAGAGTGCATGCAGTGCCCTGTGTCTCACCGCTGACGGTCAGCTGCATGCCAGCTCATCTGTGAGAAGGCTGGCGGGTCTGACCTTATGCTATGACCAGCCGGGGGAGGAAAGGCACTGGTGTAAAACCAGTGTAGGAACCAGGAGAAAGGCTTGTTAGTTCATAAATAACAACAGCAGAAATAAATCTAGAGACTTGTACCTGCAGGGCCAGGTGGTCCAGGATTACCGGGCAGTCCAATTCCAGGCTCACCTCTTTCCCCTTTCTGTCCTCTATAACCTACACAGAATAAAGATACGAAAATAAGAGTGTCCTCTTATTATAAACAGTGATCTGCCATATATCTTGTTGACAGTAAATTATCAAGACAAATGTAATTGGGAAACACATGCTCATTTCTTTTTCTGACAATGGTATTTTTTCTGAAACAGCTCTTATAAGTTCCTTCTGGAAAAGACGAGGATTTCTAGTAGCAACCATTGCATCCTCTCCCAGAGGACTCTCACCAAGTTCACTAGCCAGACCTTTCCCCAAGATTTTAAGTTACCTTCCTGAAGTTCCTCTAATAAAGAACCAAATGCATATTCTGCTCCAGTGTTACCTGTTGATGAAGGGATGTACAGCACCAACCCAAAGGCCATCTGGAGTCTGACCAGTCCTTCTCTGACAGCCCACAAACTGACCGAGAATTTGCCCTCTCCACTCTACATAAATTTTCATGTCTGTACTTTTTTAGACTGTAAACTGGTAGTTGTATGCTTAGATATTCCCCTGTATGCAAGAGAAGACCCACTTCCCCTCCAGCATTACACAGCTGCCCTGACATGGAATGAGGTGTCTCTAGAGCTTGTGCAGATTTCGGGTTCCAGCATGCAAGGCCTACTTTGACCCAAGTGGCAGCACCATATACTTTCAATATGTGTGTCTGTTTTTTTCACAGGCCAGAGCTTTGTATTATCTAAACAGCTTCCATCTTCTCAGGTGCTGTGACTCATGTCCAACCCCTGTTTCTTCTTCCTTAAACTGTTTGTAAAAAGTTGTCCTGGTTGGAGACACTCCGGCAGCTCCAGAGCAGAGGACTTGCAGCTATTGGTATAACATTCTGCTTAATATTTCAAGTAAAGAATCCATCTACAAATGTACCTTCTACGTTTAGTTCCTGTAATTTATATAGGACAAGCGATGAAGGCATTTTTAAAGGAACAAGTGTGATGCCTGCCACAACCCCTTACTTCAAAAGGGATTCTAAGGAAAATTCCCTCCCCAGCACCGCAGATGTTGGCATGTAAGGTGACATATGTTGAAGACTAACTTGGCAACTCCTGGTCACATTTGGAATTAAATTTGTTCTGCTTCAGGGACCAGTATATTTCCAGTGTCACATACACAATGAACTTCCACTTGCGAAGAGCTGTAACTTGGTTTGGACTAAAAGAGAAGAGTCACAGCTGAGCAGTCAGCACAGTGGCTTCGATCCACCTGATGTCTCCTGAAGATTAACGGGCACTGGCAGATGGATGGCAAAGGTGGTCTTGGCAGTGCACTGTGGTCTATGGCAACACTGGTACTTTACAGGGTAATCCAGAAGGAAACTATTGTAAGCGCTGTGGGTACCAATTCAGGGTTGTTACAACAGACACAAGGCAGTAGGAATTGGTACACAGATAATTCAAGCTTTCTGTTAAACACAAGCTCATGATACACTTCAGTAGAAAGTCTATGATCTGTTGCAATCATTCTAGGTTTCCAAATAGAACATCAATTATCTTACTGTTCTCTCAGCACCCCAACAAGGAAATTACAGTCAGGCAGAAACATTAGAAAATGCCTGCAGGGTGGCATGCATAACATAGCAAAAGGAAATAAACTGTTTAAAAGCTCACAGTGAAACAAACAATATTAGTCATGCATTCTGGTCACTGAGTTGTGTTAAGCAGAACTGTACAAGGCATACATGCACACAAGCTATAAAGTCTCAAGAAAAGCAAATATGCAGGTGTTTGTATTCAATTATGAATCTTGATTTTGCTCTTTAATGACCACAGTAGTATTTGTAACTACATTAACTTCATTTGCTCTGAAAATCTTGTGTAACGCATAGTAGTGGCTATTGTTTGAGAAGCTCAATGATACAAGCACAGGATCGACTACATTTCCTATTTATTAGATATATCTCTATGTTTCTTAATTTACAATAGATAGTTACAGTACATTTCTCACTACAAACCCAGTTAACTGTAATTTGACAAAGTACTGCTGCCACTAATTGTTTTTCATTTCTTTAGTTATGGGGAAAAGAGAGAAATCACATTTATGACATATTGCATTTACAGTCTCCATGATAACCATTACTCCAGTATCCAAGACATCAGAATTGAAAAGGGACTGAGATAGTCTGAAAGATTCTGTAAACATCACCAGAAATCAAGACAATAAGGAAAAAAGAAACCCACAACAGGACAAAGAGCAGCCTGCCAATGCCAACATATGATCCAGGACAGTGTGAATCATTACTGGCTCTATCTGAATACACGTGCAAAGGTGTAGTTGGTACACAGTTGCAGTTAACTTCTGTTGACACTGAAGTTTAACACAAAAATTCCCATATATCTTTTCTAAAAATAAGGCTTTATTTAACAGAGTGTAACCATATTATATATGTAAACAATCTGAACAATGTAATGTGTAATTCTGGCAGGAATATATTTGATTTCTAATGAGGTATATTTTGCTCAGAAGTAGGGCCATGATTACACTTCTGGAGGATAATATCACCTTCTCTCTAAGCTTAAAGTGACAAACTCATACACAGTCAAAGGAAAATATTACCATACACAAAAATCAGATTTGGATTTATTGTTTTTAATGTAAAGACACATATAAGATGCTGTCTATTTCCACTGATAGAACTACAATTCCAGTAAAAGGTACCTGCTTAATTCAAAAGGCAACTGCTTTTAGCAAAGCCTTTCACTTGGGTTCCAGAAGCCTTTGTTGTGATTTCTGCAACCCAAAAGTTGTGGTGCGTAAACATGTACCCAACGTGGATGGTACGGTAAACACCCGGCAGCAGTATGGAGCAAGTATGTGTTCAACCAGATGAGCTTTCTTCTGCTCATAGATGAATGGTGAGAGCTAAAATACAGCTCTTGGTTTGTTGCTGTCCACAAACATCACGGTCAGAAGCATCACTATTGCAACACCCTCAGCTCTACTTGGAAATGACATAAGTTCATGTTTATGAACTTGGAGGTAAAAAGTTCTCTCATTTAAACACCTCCATAAGGAATTCCATCTATATCATGGAGACCCTCTTCCATCCGCATGGATAACGCAGCACCTGAAACTAGCACGTCAAGTACCTAGAGGAATCTGAGGTTCTTTAAGCCAAATGAGGCAAACCCGGTATCACGACAGGTAACCGAAGTACCACTGTGCTTTACTGTGCAAATACACTGCATTCTTAAAAACAAACAACTGCAAAGCAACGGGAAGTGTGCTCGGAGCAAGCCCTCTTCTCCAGCCTCCAGTGCATATTCTGAATTCCTTCTGTGTGTTACAGCCTCTCAGCTGAGATGTAGGAACCGAGTTTCAAATCAAAGTAAAACAGGTTAACTTCACGCTCCAGAGCAAAGAACAGTTTACAGGAGGTAACGCTTGAAACCAGTGCAGCTATTTCAGATGAGTGACTGTGTCTGGACAACATCCACCACAATGGGTTCTTGATGTCAGCCAAGGTTTCTAAATGCTCCCACCATACAATTCAATAATTATGAGAGACACAAATTTTTTAATGGAGATTAGCAGTAAAGGTAAGGAACTTCTGCTATTCACCACATGGTATTTTTCTTTCCTGAGCTCTGATGTTTGATTCCTTGAGGCTACCATGAGTTATGAGGACATACAAAAAACTCATTTCCTTAATTTGATAGAAACAGTGAAGTTTAACTAAAAGGAAATCTTTTATCTCTTAAGGAAAAAACCAGTAGTCATATTAACATAAAGGATCTCTGGACTGCAAAATTATTCCAAGGTGCATTTGGTCTAATGGACCAAAACTCACTAGTTTTACAGATCCAATTAAGTCAGTGGAGTTAATTGATCTAGATCCTCTTAACACGTGACAAGCTGACTGACTGACTGCAAAAGGATGACATTGCTATAGCTTGTCTATGAAGTCTTGAAATACTCTTCCTGTTTCTCTATGAGACACTAGCATCCTTTAAAATGCATAAAAAGCAAACAAGTTCCTCTGCTCCCCCATAAGCAGATGCTGTACATTTCACTGGTAACACTGCCTCACAGTATCAGCTTGCTGATGCATATGCCATAGGCTTTTTTTTTAATGAAGAAATACATATATATACATATATAAATCTTCCAGTCACTGTTATATAAAAGTCAATTGTTCTTTTTTGTTTGCATGCTATATTTTTATTGAGACTAAACTATAAAATCAAAATTGTTTGTACTTGAACCACTGGGAAGTACCTGAGGTACACTATGGACAACCTTGTTGAAGGCGAGCAGGTAACAATTCTGGACTTCATTAGAAATTCATTAGAAATGAATGACTCTATGCCCAAGAGTCTACCAGTTCCTTCAATACACTTTTTGAAGACCATGCCTACACTTCTAAAAGTTCATATTTATGTTTTTTGCTTCTGGGACTAACCCCTACATATTGGTTTGCTGTGCAGAACAAGGCTCTGGTGGAATCTGGCCAGGTCATACCAGACCAGTTCCTGCGAGAACGGACATTATTGCACATAGCAAAACCCTGGAGTTGGCAATAGGGGCTCCAGCCAAGTGGGAAATATCATAAGGAATATCTGTCAGTCAATACCAACTGTGTACTCTGACTTGGACATATGTGCACACAGCATGCTACCTTGGTCTCAGCCACACATGCTTCTCCAAGAAATCTTGTCTGCTGTGCCTTTTATGGCTGAAAATAAGATGAAATATGGAAGGATACTTTTCAATCTGCTCAGAGGTTTTAATTGATTTTTACTGCTGGCACAAAACAATAACACACACCGGCACAACCGGGAAAAGCATGAAGGGTATTTGTAAGTGTGTTTCTCTCATGGGACTATTTCTTACTCAGAGTATAAAAAGGAGGCAAGACAAATTTTTGGTTTTCTGTCCTTGGAAGTATAATTTCAGATAACTTTTTGATGTACCAGAGAAGTAAATGCTTCTCACTTAGCTTACCTTTTACTAATCAAAAAATGTAAAATAAATGGAAATTCTGTGTACATGGGGCACTACTTTTACTTAAGCATAAAGCATGAAAAAGCAGCTTTATTTTTTTTTCAAGCATAGCTATCACCTTTACTCTCGATGCTCACTAGTAGGAAATGAAGCCTAGTACAACGTTGCACTTCCCAGAAGCATCTGAGGCTATCCACCACATACATGACCATTGAACAACCTGGCACTGACATTGGAGGTGACTGTTTACAGTGATCTGAATATTTAGGTAATGATGAAGTCAGTGTTGTAAGATTCTAAGCCTTTTATTGTTTTCCTTGATCCTTTATTCTTGTTCTTCTCATTCTGAGCTCATCACAATTTTCAAGCTTCTGTCAGGGGTTTGCGCTTATCAGTGTTAGTAAGTCTTTATTCTTCTGATAGCTTTAGGATCCACACATCTTCAGTTTTGCTCTCCTGTTCTTCAATCCAGTCTGACTTGCTCTGACTTCAGAGCAGACCAAACTAACAAAAGATAATAAAGAACTACCTACAGATCAACTGTAAATTACATATTACCCACCCACAAAATATCATTCATCGATAAATTCTTTTTTTCCTTTTATTCTGTTCTCCTCTTCCTTTTAACCTCTGAGAGGCTGCCTCTACAGTAGAGCACAGCTACAATGAGCCTGGATCCCTTGAAGCTGATTTTGCAGCGAAAGACAGTTCAGTGAAACAGGAGTCCTAGACTGTCCAAACGCATTGCAATGTACAAATTACCATCTGGGGTATTGTGAAAAGCTGATTACTCTGAAGCTAGATTACTTCACTCTAAGAGTTTATGTGGTAATATTTCAGTTTTCACTGCTTCTTAGAGAACACTATTTGCCTTCAGTTTTTCCTCCCTTGTGTTGTCTCAGGATCAAAGCTGAGAGCACTCAGACTTAGAGATTAAATTTTATTTCTTAAATAAGATGGCCTCTCAATGTGGAACAGGATCTAAATAGTTACATTAGAGTGTTGGCATGTTTTCTTCCTTGTTAAAGTATTTTGGAGAAAAAACCTGCTACAGTAGTTTATATATCTGTCAGCTTTCGATATCTGTCAGTTATTAACTTTATCACTTATTAGAATAAAATGCACTGATTAGGAGTTTTTAATCAGTAAAATCCACACATTTACTACGGGTTAATATTTAGAGCTAGTCTGGAAAAACATATGTATAGTTTTAAAAGTTAATCATTAGGAAGCTAGATAGGTAATCCTGGCTTACTTAATAATCATTAGCAAGTGTATAAAGATTTCAAGATCCAATTCATGAGAACATTTTTTGTAATTCCTACCTTGAATTCCACGTTCTCCTGGTGGCCCTGGCAAACCATCCTTTCCTGGTGGCCCTGGTAACCCATCTTTTCCTGGGGGCCCAGGTTTTCCATGAGCCTGGGAGGCAAGCATTGCAGCAGGCAGCTTGAGCTGGGATACAAACTGAGCCATCCTTTCTTCATTAACAAAGGACACAAGAAAAAGTGGGTAAGAAATCTGCTACCAAAATAGAGGAAAATCAATAAATGTCAAAGCCCCAGCCAAAGTAAGTTTCTGGAAGTAAGGTGTTTAAAATCCTTCTAAATGTCAAGGTATTAAACGCTCCTGTAAGTACCGAGCCCTTCAGTTACAGTTCAGACTCATGTCTGAGTCTTTACCCTTTGAAACAATCTGAACAAATTTCTACTGAAGTTTCTAATAGTACTCTCTTTTACTAATGGATTGCAATGTTTCAAATGACTTCTGACTCTTGTTCATGAAACTACTTAACATACATGAACACAGCATAAATAGCACTTAACACCTCTGTGAAGAGCCACCTTCTGTGTTTGTAACTCTTATTAAGTTGCAAAGTGGAGCTTCAATACTGCATACAGTTCTTGGAATGTGCTGAAACCCTGAACACAGCTGTGAAAAACCTGTAAGTGCTCAGCTAACATTATTAATTGCAGAGATTTCAGCATGAACTGTTCATGCTGGTGGAATCATAGAATCATTAAGGTCAGACAAGCCCTCAAGCATCATCAAGTCCAACTGTCAACCCAACACCACCCAACCCACTAACCCATGTCCCCAAGCACCACATCTACACGTGTCTTGACCCCCTCCAGGGATGGTGACGCCACCACTGCCCTGGGCAGCCTGTTCCAATGCCTGAGCACTCTTGCAGTGAAGAAATTCTTTCTAATATCCAGCCTAAGCCTCCCCTGGTGCAACTTGGGGCCGTTTCCTCTTGTCCTATCAAGTGCACTTGGTAACATTTCAGTGTTCCTTAGAGGTAGACAAATAACCTTGAATTTGTCTCATTTATACCAGATTAAAAAACTTCACTAAGCATTCCACAATTTAGCTGGTATTTACTGTGGTGGAGCTTTAAGATTTAAGAAAACATTAGACTAAAGAGAAGAGTAGGCATCAAACAAAAAATAAGCAAAGTGATAGAAAAAAGGCAAAGTGAACAAAGCCAAAACCAGAAGATCTGTGGCAACACTAGCGAGGTGTAGAAAATGGAAGAGCTATAAAAACAAAACCCAATATTCCCTGTAGGCAGGACACCTTTTAATACTTTCTCTTTATGAATAGACTAAATACTTGTTACCATTCCATTTGAATGGGAAAAGCAGGTAACTTCAGCCAACAAACTGCTCTTGAAACACATAGTACGTTGAACTCCTAAGGGGTAACAGTCTGGGGAAGGGTGAAAATACACAAAAATGGTAGCCTTGTTACAAAGTGAAAAACTGCCTGAACAGTGTTTACCTCTGAAAGATAAAAGGTTTTGTATTCACAAATATGAATGACAAAATAGATAAGCATATTGCAAAGACAAGAAATGCCTTCTGCAGCAGAAGAAAAGCTACTGGTAAGAGGCATTTGATCAGAAGCTTGTTTCAGACACCTATCTAAATCACAGCTTTTCAATCCTCACTAAGAAAATACTGGGGAAGACAAATATTTCCTTTTTGGAGTAAGGACACACCTAAGAAAGCTTTACCTAGTAGAAAGGCCTTGGCTGAATCTGGTACTTGCCTAAAAGTGTGCCAGAAGATGGTGGGCTGCAAGGAAGCCCTGGAGCTCATCAGGCATTTGCTGAAAACACACAGCAGTCTACACCTGCATGACTGAAAGCTGTCAAGCCTTTCTCTCATTTAGTCATCCGCTATGTGGCCAAAGTAATTAGATATTTCTATTGTCTCCACTGTAATAAATCTTCAATGTCTTAATGATACCTTGTTGATACCTATGTATCTGCAATAATATATCATACATATACGTATCTACAATGATACATACATATGTTTGCTATTATGATTTGGAGCAAACTACCTTTTAATGCTAATCTTTTACATAAGGAAATACTCTGGCTAACAGATACTCTAATTTATGGTTGTTTGAACTTAATTATATTACGTGGACTTAAACAGTTAAACATAGATACAGCAACAAGGCAGCTGCTAAGTCCAATGTAAGTTAGATGATATGCAAATAAACAGATATAAAGGTTGCAGGGATGTAAAACATTTAGAACAGAATTTAAGATTTATGTTTAGTTGTGTAACACTTCATTTCCTTACCTTCAAAAACCTTAAAAACCTCTTGTTTGATGTATTTTTTTATTTCTTCAAGTGCAAGTGTATCAGCCTGAAGAGGGGGGAAAAAAAAGGTGATTGGTATCAGAAGAAATGTACATAGGGCACTTCATGATGCTATAAAACAAGAAAAATAGCACTAAAAATTAAAGCTTTCAAAAAAAATCAATATTTTAATATATTTGTTATTTACTTGACTTCAGAGGCCACTTTATTGCAGATACATTATAATATTATAAAGACCACTAATGCCATGAAGTGGAAGAGGCACTCCCAACTGTCAAGATGATCAGCATGTTCTGGGTATGGAAATTAATTTGCAGAAGACAGTAAGGATGTCCAGTGCCACAGCTATGCTTTACTTGCCTTCTGTATAGCATTTGCCAGCTTCTCAACTCCTCTAGGGACTAACTGCTTTGATGCACAGCCGACTAACTAAAACCACATCACAGGTCCAATAACTTCACTGGAAAAGGTTTTTTTTTGAGCTTTATCCTGTCTGACTGAGGGCAAAAAGAACCCATAATGTGGATGTGTCCATGTGCATGTGGAGACAAACCGAGATATCATAGAATCATTAAGGTTGGAAAAGACCTCAAGGATCATCAAGTCCAACCCAACACCACCTAACTCACTAACCCATGTCCCCAAGCACCAGATCTACACGTTTCTTGACCCCCTCCAGGGATGGTGACTCCACCACTCCCCTGGGCAGCCTGTTCCAATGCCTGAGCACTCTTTCAGTAAAGAAATTTTGTCTAATATCCAGCCTAAACCTCCCCTGGTGCAACTTCTACAACTGACAGGCAGCATTTCATACTCTTTTGAAATGCTGATTTCGCTTTTATTGAGAACCATTTTTTGTCTGCGTCCTTTTCTTTCTTTCTTGCAAAGACTTCCACATTAGTTCTTAAGCTCATGAAAAACATGAAAGATAACAGTACTGAGGAGCCATATTGATTTCTCAGGAACTAAAGAAGAAAATAATTAAAGTTTATCCATATTAAAAATTAAAAATAACTGCTTGATCACCTGGCTATATTTTTTCCATCTCTTAACTGAGCACTGAAATTATCTCAGAGATATGTTAGTTTTTCTGATACTGTGGTATTGCTTGGTTGATTTTCCACTGCTCAGCAGATGCTCCCTTCACGTTGTCTGAATTCATAAGCAACCAAGGAAAACTTGTATTTACTTACTGGAAACCCTGGGGGTCCTGGTGAACCTGGGGGACCCTGATGACCTGGTGATCCTGGATAGCCTCTGTCTCCTGGTGGCCCAATAGGACCCACATCCCCCTTTTCTCCAGACGGGCCAGGTTTCCCTCGTTCGCCTTGTGGACCTTTGTCCCCTGGAATACCCTGATCTCCCTATGTAAAACAAAAGCAGAAAGAAAAGCATTACATACAGGGGAACAAACTAGGAAGAGGCACACAAGAATGCTAAAGACAAAATTCTTCCCTGTTCAGAAATAGATTTTATGAATCATGCAGGGAAGCTGATTTTACAGGCTAACCCTTGTCTCTGAAAACACAGCAAGTAATGTTTTATTTTCTTACACTTTTAATGTTGAAGTCAATGACAAAAAAAATAGCTTGGCTCTGCAACCCACTTTTCAAGGACAGAACTTGGGTGCAGAAAGTTTATGGACCTTATACAGGGATCTAGAAATGTCAAATACGGCACAGGTAGAAATTAGGTGCCCAAATTCCCCCAGGCACAAGGCATCAGGCTTTTTTCTGTAACTTTCCCTAGAAGCCTAATATTTTATTTCTGCATGTACGCAAAATTTCAGTTAATCAACGAAACAACAAATACACAAATCCATTTATAACGAGTTAATTCCTTGCGAACAAAAAAAAATTTAAGTAAATGTTCTGGCCAGCAACAGTTTCCACCATAGCTGAAATGGCATTTAAATTTGTTTTATTTGTGAAGAATTAAATCTTTCAGAGTGACTTAATGTATTAATGCATTAGCTATTATTCCACTGAACTACAGCTGCGGAGCAGAGTGCTGCAACTCACACGCTCAGATTGTTAATGAACAGTTGGCAGTTCTTGAGGGTTACCGACTGCCCTTGCTGCATCCCTTCAGCTAATGTCAGGCTCCACCAGAAGCAGCAAGCAGCACCAAGAATTGACTACATCATGACTAGATAAATCCAGAGTCTACATTTATGAGGGGTGAAGGAACGGAATTAATTGCATTTTTAATCTACAGCAAGTGGCTGCCCAGAGAGGTTGTGGAGTCTCCTTCTCTGGAGACATTCAAAGCCCGCCTGGATGCGTTCCTGTGTGATCTGATCTGGGTGTCCTGCTCCGGCAGGGGGGGATTGGACTGGATGATCTTTCGAGGTCCCTTCCAATCTCTAACATTCTGTGATTCTGTGATTCTGTGGTGGTAAACTGCATTCAGATCTGAAACATCATTAACTGATAAACCAACAAAAGTGTAGTTGTATTCTTAAGTCATATTTACATGACATGTAAAGATTGAAAAAGATAAGGATGCAGGTAGGAGGTTGTACATTTTTATGATCTATCTGTCCTCCAATCTGTATGATTTCCAGTGAGTTAGAGCTTATTACTGACTGTAACTAAGCTTCACTACAAAGACCACTGTGACTTGTGATGTTTTATTGCATTAACTGAAACCATAACGTGTTCCCAACTGGAGTTTAAATTGCCCTCGGTAGGAGTGCAGAGAATCTGAACTCTGGAAAGTCTACCACAAGAAAAAAAAGTGTCAAAATCTGAGACCTCATCATCGATCACCTATAATTTTACCCGGTGTGGTGGGTTGACCTTGGCTGGTTGCCAGGTACCCACCCAGCTGCTCTCTCACTCCCCCTCCTCAGCGCGACAGGGGGAGAAAATGAGATTAAAAGCTTGTGAGTCAAGATAAGGACAGGAAAATCACTCACCAATTACCATCAGGGTAAACCAGACTTGACGTGGGGCAGATTAATTTCATTTGTTGCCAATCAATAACAAAGCAGGATAGGAAGACCTTCCCCTCAACCCCCACTGTTCTTCCCAGGCTCAACTTCACTCCTGACTCTTCTACTCCCTCCTCCTGAGTGGTTGCACAAGATTATTTCAGCCCAGGTGACCTCTTCCTTCTTAAAATATACTTATATTAGGATATACTTATATTAGACATGAAAACCTCATGAGTTTTGTTCTGCCCTTCCAATTCTGATGCTTCTCTTTTCCACAACTACAACAGCTTCTCTCAAAGCTGTAGAGCAGTGATAACAATGGATGCAAAAAGAGCTTGACTTTGTGTTATTTTCTGTAATCACTGAAATCTCTCTCACAGATGCAGGGTTGTAATACCTGATCCAGAAAAACACGCCAAAGAACATCAACTCCCTCACTGATCTCTTAGCCAAGACTTCTGCTGCATATTTCACAGTCATTAGGCAGGTCTTCCCTTGCTATCAACATAACTTTTCCTTCAGAATTGTAAAGAACAACTGACAGCTTTCTGAAAACTATAATCAGATACTGCATTAGTCACAATTATAACTTTCCTGTTTTAAGAAGTTGTGAGAGATTTTGATTATCATTTGAGACAAAAATACTTCTGGAAATGGATTTATTTTTTAACATGTATCTATATATTTCTTTTATATATATATGTGTGTGCATGTGTATTTATATGTTTTTTTCTTTTACTCTGTACAGTGAGAGCTAGATTGTGACATGTTTGCCAGTGATCCCAGAAGTGAGAGTGGATTCAGGCATCTGTGACCTCTCTGAGAGCAAGCATATATCCATGTTTACATGTACACGTGCGTATGTATGTATGCTGTCACCGATGAGGCTGGAATAAATACACCTTCTTCTCTTACCCTGAAGATTCCCAAGGTTCACTCCAATGAAGCAAGCTAAGGCTGTGTCTGTGTCTCTCACAGACTTTTTCAACATCCTCCTCCCTGTCAATCTGTTTCAAGGTCATGCACTTACAGGTCCAGCCTCCTCTTCTGGTTGTATGGGCATTCAGAGGGGTTGACATTGAGAAAGTCAAGGCTGAGCAGTGTAATTCAGTACACAGTAGGTGGTACAATAAAAAGGTTCTTACATTTTATTTTTGTCCTTAAAGGCAGAAACTGAACATTGCAAACTGTTAATTTTTGTAAGGGATTATTATTGTAACAATCATTAAAATCTCATGTCTCCTCAGTGTCATAACGCAGCATTCCCTTTTCCAGATGACACAGGGAGGTGCTTTTCTGATTCATCAATAAATGTGGTATCAACTGGATTAGAACATCAGAGCTTTAGCAATGTTATAAGAGGAACAGAGTATGTGCTAGGATTTTCCTTCCTCTAGCAAAAAAAGGTCATCTCTCACCTCGTGTAAGGATTCCTGTGCACCATGAACAGAACTGTCTAAACATTTTGGAAAGCAGTAAGGTATTGCATTGGAAAAATGTAACAAGCTTGTTTCATATATAATATGATTTGTGTTTGTGACAGACAAAGATCCCAGGGATGACGATGGGACAAGCTTTATAGCTCTTGCAAAGTCTGACAGCATCACAACAGGATTAGCCACTTTCTAATTTACACTGCCCAGGCTAACTGTGTTAGAAAGTCTATAAAATGTGTTTTTCCCCTAAATGCAGAAGCCAATTCAATCCCAATTCTTTAAAGTGGTGTCCAGGACTAAACCTTTTAGTTGTCTAAAGGCCTGAAGTTCACAGAGAATAATTTCTTGCGTTTGCCTGTAAAATATCCGTGGATAAGGTGCTCAGATGCTCAGTAAAAAGAATATTGAAACAAGAGACTTACACGTTCTCCTTTGGGTCCTCTGTCTCCTGGTCTCCCCACAGCACCCTGAAAAATTGTTTTTGAATAAAGATAAACATGACACTTAAAGGCTTCACTTGCTAGCAGAACTGAAAGCAACTGTCTAGGATTAACAGCTATAATATTTGTGAAGAATAAAACACACTGGTATGCAAAAGCATGTTTTCCTACCGGAGGGCCAGGCAATCCATCTTTTCCATTGATTCCCTGTAAAAAAAACCAACAATTTTTTAATAAATACACTTATGTATATGCATTTTAAAAATACAAATGGTAAAGCTCAGTGTCTAGTGCTGGTATCAGCACATGTTCTGAAGCTGCGGAGGCATCAGTTTGTGTGGTCACAAACCAGAAATAACTACAAATAGTCTTGAGACATGAAATAACAGAGCTCAGGGAGAAACTGACATGCAAGCACATTAAATCTGAGCTGAGAGTAGAGCAAAAAAAAATATTCTGCATTAAGATGTGCATCAACGTTAACGAGCACACAACTTCAAATGACAAGTTATATGGAAACTCAGCAAATACGGGATATGGACCTGTACATGCACTTTTCCAGTCCCAACTAGTCATTATACAACCATAGAGGAGATTTCTCTTATTCCAGTTATTAGCCCTGATGTCCTGTTACCCTTCTGCTGTTACAGAGATTATGCCTTAAAAGTAAGCATCCAGATCTATTCTTTGGTCCTTAGGACTTATGGCAAGCACAGCTTCAGCCTCCTGGGCTAAACATATTTCCTTTCCAAAAGAGGGAAACCAAAGCAGGTATCCATAAACCACCTCCTGGAAACAGACCCAGGCCCACTGTATCCCCCAAATGGGAATGTGGCATTATCTGAGAGTCCTAGTTGGCATGGACCAAAATATGTCAAAGAGTACATTAACAATGGCACCAAACCAGACAATTGCAAGAGAAAAGCTCTGGCAATGCTTAATTTACTAGGATAAACATGGATCTGCAAATGCAGCAAACTATCTGCTATTTCACTGAGTGAGAAAGGAAGACTTGCATGAGCAAAGACATCAGGAGGATTTCCTTCCCTCTCATACTGCAAAATGGAGTTCTGCACAGATTAGGCACCTCGGGCCAATTTGCTGCTGAAGTTACAGAAATTGTCCCTTTTTTCAAGACAGAAGTGTAACGTGGAGATGTGCTGATGAACTGAAATGGTCTGCTTCTCATGCTTGTCCACAAAACACTAAGCCTTTGGCGAGATAATGAGTTCTATGCTATCCTAGCTGAACCACTTCTGGAATATAAACTAAGTTGTTTTAAACCACCTCAGACAGTGCTGACTACACTGTTGTCACACTTTTATTAAATAAAGAGGTCAGATTAGACATATCCTAAGTAAACAGTAAATGCTTCAGCTGCAGTGTTGCATCACCCGTAGACAGAAGAATTACGAAGTTTATTCAGAGTCAATGAAGCATGTACTTCTCTATCTGAACTGAAACTGAGAATGTATTTTATCAACCCGTCTTTTAATCCTTTATAGGATTACATTTTTAAATATGGATTAATATTCCCCTTCTGAAAAAAATACAAGACGATCCTTTACGTGAACAGGATCCAAAGGACCCTCATGAGACCTTTAAAGGTCTTTACCATCTCAGAAACATTGACTATTAAAACATCACAGTTCCAGGAATTCTTGACTGAATGGTTAATACCGAGCACTGTAGCTTTGATTGTTCTTCAGATGTTACCCAGCCTAACAGAAAGCAGGATGTAATCTCATTTCTTTTGTAACTTCTGATAAACTAAGACGCATCCTGTTGTTATGAATATTATCTTCAGTATTAAATTGCTTACTGGTTTTCCTTGTGGCCCTTCCGGCCCAGGGAAGCCTATATCTCCTATAGGTCCTCTTTCACCCTAAGAAAAAAGAAAACACACATAAAAATCTGCATGTAAAATCTTGCATTCGGTGTTTGAAATGCTTGTGTATTATCATAAGAGTCCAGAACCCAAATCTGTACTTACGGGTTCCCCTGGCATCCCTGGGGACCCAGGAGATCCCGGCTTGCCCTGCAAAAAGAGAACATTACAAATTCACAGAATCACAGAATCACAGAATATTAGAGATTGGAAGGGACCTCGAAAGATCATCTAGTCCAATCCCCTTGCTCTTAGGTCAAAAGTAAGAGAGGATATTTTATTTGAGTGAAATATTCATGTTACTGTTCATTAAATGCTTTAAGACAGGAAAACCAAATATTTTACTGGATTTTTTAGAATATTTGCACTGTGTTAATCTGGCTCTTTTGTACAACAGAACTCAATTGCTTGGTCTTCTTTACCCTTTCTGAATAATGAGATAATGTTTTCATGAAATTTTCTTTTACAACACCATGACCTCCTTCTTGAGAACTCATAGTTAGACCAAAGTTTATCACTGGATATGTGAAACCAAGAATTTTTCCTTCAGGTACTTCCTAGTCCTGATTTTTTTTAAAGTGAGTTTATTATTGACTTAACCCCTTTTTCAAGTTTTCTTCAACAACATATCTGGTTTAGTCCCAGACAAGAATCTGTTACCCTGGATCCACATTTGCTGGAAATATCCTTAGACCAGCTCCTCAGCTGACTTGTACAAGTGAGGGATCTAACACAGCAACACCAGTGACAACTTCAGGAACAAAAGGACTGAGGGTTCATGCTGAGGAAATAGGCACTGGTGGCAATTCTTGCAGATTCTCAGTTCAAGCTTCCCTGACAATCCCACTCAGCAAAAACCCAAAGCTAAAATGAGAGATTTACATTCCCAAATGGGAAAAAGGGTCTACTACTCAATCTGGGCAATAAGGCCAGGCAAGGAGGACAAATTCTCTTCCAGTAAGACATGTGGATATATTTCAAAAACTCTTCCTAGACTACTAAAAAATATTACTTCTCATATGTCTACTAATTTGTTATTTAAAACTGCTTAGCATAAAATGTTAAACCAAATCATTTATTTCAGTGGATTTTATTAGAATTAAATGTAATCAACAGAATACAACTCCATATGTGATGAAAGGAAATCATTAAATATTTCTTATTCAGCTAGAATAGAGACCATCAAGAATAAGACTTGAAACACATCCAGTGGGAAATACACAAAAAAAATTTTAATCATCCTAACCAGCTACGGCATTATTGATCCACAGCATGAAATCTATTTCAGAGCAACAAACTTTGAAAATCTTACATGGGCTATAAAACTCAGAGAAATACTTCTCTTCCCCTTAAATGTGCAATTTTACCTTGTTTTAGGAGAACCTAACTAAATTAAGGTGTTTAAGCTGATGTTCTCGCTTGGAACCCACAGTAAACAGAATAAATCAGTGGCTAATGGAAATGGGGAGTGCACAGATACAAACTTTTCTTTATTTCATGAAACACATATTTATAATTTAAAACCAGCTCATGAATGGATTGGTAGCTGCCCAAATTTAATAACAAATGCATTTGCATATAAATAACTGCATATTGCCTCCTGAAATATGGATAAACTTTTTTATTAAACTGTGAATGCAATCTAAAGAAAAGCTGTCTTCATTCCCTTTAGGAACAGAAATGAGTAATTATAATTTCAATTTACTGTTAGTTACATTTACCTTCACCTACAACAAAGTTTATGGATGACTTTCAGAAACTTCTCTGAATACCACACGTAAATAGCTGACAAAGCATTCCCCTAAAGCAAGTGTTTGATTGACTTGATATGCAGATTCTGGTGGACTGCAATAACTAACATTCATGATTTTTCTTTGTGATAGAAAGATGCTCAGAAATTTTTGTGTGCCTAGGAACACAGAAAACGTCCTTATCTATATTAAACTCATATGCATCACACATACACATTGCATATGAATCACATATCCCATATGTGGTGCAGTTAACACACTGGAGGGAAGGGATGCCGTCCAGAGGAACGTTGACAGGCTGGAGAGGTGGGCCCATGCAAACCTCATGAAGTTCAACAAACCCAAGTGCAAGGTCCTGCACATGGGTCGAGGCAATCCCAGGCACAAATACAGGCTGGGTGGAGAATGGCTTGAGAACATCCCTGGAGAGAAGGACTTGGGGGTGTTGGTGGATGAGAATAGCTTGAGAGCAGCCCTGAGCAGCCCTGAGAAGGATTTGGGTGTGTTGGGAGATGAAAAACTGACCATGAGCCGGCAGCGTGCGATTGTAGCCCAGAGGGCCAGCCGGGTCCTGGGTTGCATCAAGAGAAGCATTAGCAGCAGGTCGAAGGAGGTGATTCTCCCCCTCTGCTCTGCTCTCGTGAGGCCCCACCTGGAGTGCTGCATCCAGCTCTAGGCCCCCAATGCAAGAAGGATGTCGAGCTGTTGCAGCGGGTCCAGAGGAGAGCCACAAAGATGATCAGAGGGCTGGGGCACCTCCCCTGTGAGGACAGGCTGAGAGAGTTGGGGTTGTTCAGCCTGGAGAAGAGAAGGCTCCGGGGAGACCTTAGAGCAGCTTCCAGTACCTGAAGGGGGCTACAGGAGAGATGGGGAGGGGCTTTTTACAATGGCATGTAGTGACAAGATGAGGGGTAATGGATTTAAATTGGAAGAGGGCAGATTTAGGTTAGATATTAGGAAGAAATTTTTCACTGTGCGGGCGGTGAGGCAGTGGCCCAGGGTGCCCAGAGAAGCTGTGGATGCCCCATCCCTGGAGGGGGTCAAGGCCAGGCTGGATGAGGCTTTGAGCAACCTGGGCTAGTGGAGGGTGTCCCTGCCCATGGCAGGGGGGTTGGAACTAGATGATCTTTAAGGTCCTTTCCAACCCAAACCATTCTAAGATTCTATGCTTTCTTAACTAAGCATATGCAGCTTCAAATTCCAGCTTTACTATGTATTCACACCATTCCCTGCTGTCATTTTAATAACGATAATATGAAACCTCAGTGGTATTAAAACTCTAATCTCTTTAGGAAAAACACATCATTTTCATACCTGCATATAAAGCATTAGCAAAGCACTGTGGCATTCCACAAACAGTAATCCAGATTACAGCTCAGCACCTTGCTTGACGTATACTTTCAGCTTCTAACAAACTGAGTTTTCTTTAATGAATATACATACCGGTGTCCCTGCTACTCCTGGTGTGCCAGCTGGTCCACGATCACCCTGAAGAAAAGATATATCTATACTTAAACGGTAAGTAACACTCAAAACCAGAAGTTTTGTTTGTGGATTCCCATCAAAACCTGAGGAAGGTTTCTTCGGTGAACTGAAGATGAGGACAAGAGCCAGGCTCTGCTTAATGCTAATATTTAGCTAATATTTAGCTGCCACTGACTCATTTTACAGGCTTGAACAAGTAACTTAAATCCTTTGTTTAGGTTCTCTTGTATAATGTCATAATTTCCATGCTATCCTTTATACTCTGCTTGAGACCTTCCTTGAAAAGGGATGGAAAGTCCCTGGCTTATCTGTAGTTTTCCAAATAATTATCATTTGTGGTCATAACAATGACTAAAATTCACACAGGGTAATTCACTATCATATCAACATCCCCATAGTTAAGATGTATCTTTCAAATAAGTTTTCGAATTCCTGCTACCCCGTCATCCATTTGCTGCAAGTCAGCATCGTCCATTTGCTTGTGCCACGGTCCTTTCAGGGCACAGTTTCTTCCTTTAGCGTACATCCACCTTCATCTATGCTTTAAGCTAATATAATGGCTTTTGTGATGGAGCTGGTGAGTTATGGACACAAATTTATCTTTCTCTCTTGAGAGGACTATAACCCAAAGCAGCCAGATGGAGCTCATCAGCGGTAAAACTCTGCACAGCGAGATTTGCCCTAACCCACTGGTGACATGTATTGGTCTGTAATACCACACTCTGCTAGGGTAACGTTTATTAAAAATGTAAGGAAAAAAAATCAGGCTCCTAGTTTCTATAATCATGTCAGAAAAGCCCTGGCACAGTTAAGCCATACTAATAGGAGAATATTTTTGTGGGATTTTATGTTATCTAGAAATTTTTTTTGCAAAAGCTCTGCCAACATAGCTACAGCCATGTTCTGTTGTGCAGAAGAGCCCTAGGAGACACCGGGATGTTTAGTTTCTGGTCTTACACGCAATGCTGATTTGTCTCATTCTCATTATTTTTGTTCAGGTAGCGCAATGATAATGCTGGTAATTAGAAGCACATAACTCCATTACACAGCATGTATACAGATGACAGGGTAAATGTCTGATGTGTCCAGAGAGAGAAGCTTGCCTAGAGGCCACAGTCCAACGTCTCCTGCTCTGGAGGCTAAGAGAAGTCACTTAATGCAAGTTCACCCCTCGGTGAGGAACACAACACGCACCTCAGGAACACCTGGCCACTGAGTATCTGTAGCAGGTCATACTGGCTGGAGCACTGCACCCTGCCCCGGTGGCTATTCTGGAGTTATACCGTGGTGTTTCCCCTATAAACTGGCTATGACAGTGGAGCTAGAAATTCCTAACACTTCCCTTGCAACTTTTTTTTTTTAATTTAAGGGTTATTCTGGTCCTTTCAGCAATGGGATTTGCAGCACAGCTGCACAAACAACTGTGTCAGTACAGCTGAGGGAAGGGACATTTTAACCCAAAGATGCAAAGTTCTTAAGCCGGTTCATGAAATTACCATGAAATTACAGCCAACATTGTCTGTGGAAGATGGCATTCTGCTACACAGATGTACCTAAGAGCACTAAATTAAAAACCAGCATGCACTATACTGTTGGGACTGGCAGGCAGACTCTGGGATTCTGTTCATTTATTTGCACCAGAAGTGGAATTTTGACCAAATTTAGTTAGGGAAAGGATATTTTTACTTTGGGAAAGGGCCAAACACTCACTTAGCTTGCTTATATGATCTGCTCCATTGCTTTTTCCCCTTATTTAATTCCTGTCTCCACTTTGTCTCAATTAGACCTGTAATATCTCCCTGTGTTCATCCATTTTAAAATCAGACTAGTCTTTACTTGCTTGTAAATTGTACTCTTCCAGAGCAAGAATAATCTCATGTAATTGAAACATCTAGTATAGACGCCTACCTTGGATCTTGTCACTCTCCGCTCTCTGCACAAGTAGGAGTAATGCACAGAGAAACTTTTCATTTGCATTGCTTTTTGATGAAGAATAGGTTTCAGTAAACTACAAAGTCATTGAACAACATGCAATTCAAAAAGCTGAATAAATATTCAATTTTCAAAAAAACCCCTGCTCTTTCTTTTTTCTTAAATTTAGAAGATATGGGCAAAGTCACGCTGTTTTCACTGACAGAAAACATAGATTTTTTTCATTTCTCTGATGAATTTTTTGTACTTGGCCATATTTAGAAATGGATACCAACATTTTGAAATTTTTAGCATTTCATGACAAGCTTTTGTCTAAATTCTCCACAACTAGTAAGTGAAAGCCTGAAACATATCACCAGCTGAAGGAAAGGATAATTCCCTACCACTGGAATGCAGATTTGAACTACAGAAAGGAGCTGGAGAATACAATATGGTTTGGGATGGTGGCATCATGCATGCAGTACAGAGTGCACGAAAAGTAAAACAGAAACAAGTGGCTTTTTTTAGAATAATGAGCAATGGTCCAATAAAAGACATTTTTGCTCTTTTTGTAACAGGATGGAACACAACAGGAACTGTAGGGAATCAGTCTATCCCTCTATTTCCACTCTTTTCTATATTTTCACATTCATCTGAAATAGGTTTTTTGTATGGAAGTCTTGCATGCACTAGGTCTACTCTAACTGCTAGAACTTCAGACCTGTAGCTATGGCATAAGTTTTAGAACAAGACAGACAGACTGTAAGCATAAGACGATGTTCAATAGAGAACAAGAACTAGTGACCATACTTAGGAACATGTAACTATATTATTTTCAAGTAATAAGAGTTATATAGTATGTCCTATATATAATATAGTATATAATAGTATTCTATCAAGTTAAAAAACCAAAATACTACGTGACCTCCTACATACAATTTTCAATTTGTAAAACTAAAAAAGGAAATAAAGATAAATATGCAAGTATTTTTCACACAGAAACATTAACTTAAAAAAAAAAAAAATCAAACAAGATTTCAGAAAACATTTAGCCGCAGATAGTTGCCACTAAGAAGCCATGACTTCTTTTTAAGAGTCCTACCTTTTCCCCTGGGAGTCCTTCTAGTCCTGGTAATCCCATTGGTCCTGGGTCTCCCTGATATTTATTTTTTAATTAAAAAGGATTGCATACATTAGTACTCTACATGAGAAATGTTGAACAGCAAGCAACAGCAGATTATTTAACTTGAGATTAGTAAAACAGCTAACCAGTTATTAGGTGAACAGATTTTGTTGTGCCCTGTTTTAGTGATCTGCAAATTAAGCTTTTCCTAAAGGCACTGTGTAAATATTTGGATCAGTGGTTTTAATTTTGATGAAGACTCCCCTCCAGTGTTCTTGCAAGCCAAGGTCAGCTCCAAGGTACCTCCAGGGGGTAGAGCACCTGGGCGTAAGTATCTGCTGTCAGCCAGAGAACCAACCTCTGAGCAATCCCATGCTCTGCTCCCTAAACAAAGCTTACTCTGCAGCAAGAGTCACACAGATTAGGTCTCTGTGTAGGTCTTCAAGTTTTGAAAGAAAACCAGAAGCATGCTCTATTGGAGAAATCAGTTTAACGTGTAGATTGGGGATGCCCTTTTCATTATTTATTTTTTAAAGGAAATTGATAATTTACCACAGAGACTTAAAACTACAGCCAACAATTCCAGGATTTCAGCAATTCTCAGTTAAATCAAAAGCAAATTCCCACAGCAAACTCCCTTCTGTATTTCATGAATTCTCTGGCAGATCTCACTCTAAACTGTTTGGGAGATGGTACTTCCTGAGTAAGAAGTGAGTGCTGGTACAGAAAGACGTATTCAACTTCTGGGTGTTACGGTGAAACAAAACAAGAGATTTTGTGACTTTTTTTCGAAAATAGATGAATCAATTGTTTTAGGAAACTACCTCACAACTCTGTGTTTTGCTGTGAGTGCTGAGGGGTTCTGTTTCTTTGGGTTTCTTATCCTTGAGGAGCACAGTTATCACATTGCTTCACAGGTCAAAGTTTAGTTTTTCAGGTAGTTGACTCTCCATTAACACTGGCCAAGGAATCAAACATGATCCTAGGTCCTGCACAGGTTGGTTGAGTGGAGATTATGCACCTTCATCATATATGAAGTCCTAACCAGCTCTTACAAATGTTACCTTCCCATACCACTTAGGTTATTGGTGAGTTAGTCTGAGCTATCTGTGCTTAATTCTGCTGCTATTTTTATGTAGATACTGTGCCTGCACTGGTAGCAAAAAAAAAAAAAAATTACAACTAAATGGTACTGGTATCCTGCTTTCATGAGTGGAGATATTTTCAGTAGTTTCATACTGATACTGAAGAGAAAGACTCCATGGTATGGACCCAAGTCAGAAGACAAGAACACTTCAACAGGAGAAGACACTCATCATCATCTTCCAAATACCGTGGCTTGATATGTTCAGACAAGGCCAGTCTCTAGTGACATTTTAACAGTCTGTGTGTTGTGCTCTGACCTGATTCTTTACTACCAGGCATCCAAGATGCTGTCTGAACCATCTCCTTATTTATTTTTGCCCAAGACTAACAATTCAAAGACAGGACAGCAGCTGGAGACATCAAGTGTCAGCTTCTTGGTGGTTGAATGAACTTCTGAATATGTTAAGGAACTCTGTAAGTATTTGTCAGGAGTAGTGATATGTTTCACTAGTAGCAGACACAGCTGTTCTTTACTTTGCTGGAAGGGACATGATTTTTTTTCAAAAAGAAGTATACAAACAGTGAAATTTTAATTGCTGTGGAAGAACCTATCAAATTTTTAAAAAAATATCCATTTAAAATGACATTTGATACTATCATGCTTTTTGGGCTAAACCATCAATACTCAAATTTTACTATTATCTTTTGGGTATTTGCACTGACGTCCAGTCATCAGGATGCGATATCTGTAAGTTTCAACTTTACCACCTTCAAGGCTAGGAACTATAGTGACAAACTGCAAATTAATGACAAATACAGTTTTTCTATTATAAAGGCAAGTTACACCACATGTGTATACAGATGAAAATGTACGCCCAGTCAGGATTTGGATCTACGATCTGCTGGCAGCTAGCCATATGCAACTGCTCAAGATTCTTCCACTAGTTGTCCTTGCCCTCCTCATAAACGGATGTACTTTTGAATGTCAAACTGCATAGTGGAAAGGTATAGTGGTTCCCATGATCATCATCTTGCTCACCAGAAGCAATGCGATCGTACTGTATCTAACTGTCATACCATTTCCAAAGAAAACATTTTAGCTGTTACTAGCTAGCACGATATAGCAAACTGTCTTTTCTGTTTTATCACTTTCCAATCTAATGTTGAGAATAATCTAATAGCTCTTAAGGTATTTTCTACCTTTATTTCATGTTCTCTATTCTTAGATATATCCAGGGACACCTCAGCAGAGATGAATCCACAATACTATGTTGAGTCATTCATTATATTATCACTTAGAACTATTTATGAGAAATTACAAAATTCACAGGCCTGGCAATGAAAAAGGCTTTTTCAGATGTACTAATTCTGCAGGAGGTAAGCTACCTGCTAAAAATGTTAGTGGA